CGAAGAGGTAATGTGTTGTGCCTTCAAGAATCATTAACTAATAGAGCGAAAAGATGGTTCCGATCCCTAAGACTAGAGGTTATCTACAAGATAAGTTTACTAAATTCAAATATGAATTCAAATTGTAATTAGGAGATAAATTCCATGATTTACGAATGGATAACAGATTATCTTAAAGTCCCAAGATGATAAAGATAGACTGAGAGCTCTAATCTAATTGAGATTAGAGGATCTATAAATAGACTAAAAATTTCTCATAAGGACGGACAGACAAACAACTTGAGGCTTGTTTAACTCTTGAACTGGTTTAAAGCAGACGTTTCGTAACACTGTAAGAGCGGTCGATCTCACGAAAAGGTTTCAAAAAACAAACAAAACAGATTAACAGAAATTAAATATTAGAAGAGATAAGAGAAATATGAAAAAATATATTTATTTTAGAAATTTTGAGATAATAAAAATAAAGTGTGAAAAATAAATAAACAAATTACGAAAAAAGATAGAAGTAAGAAATTCTAATTATCAAGATCAATTTCAAACATTAGAATATCATCGCATCAGTTAATTCTTCTTATATTTTCGGGTTGATAAAATATATAATTCTCCCAAATCGACTATATTTTCGGGTTGATAGAATCTATAATTCTCCCAAATCGACTATATACCCTCATGGATAAAGCAGTAAAGGAACAATCATAATAATATCACTTTGCGAAATAAAGATTCCTAACTCTAGTATATACCTCTTGACATAAAGAGGTAAAGGACAAAATTATTTAGCAATCTATTATCCGGAAAAAATAAAATAAAATGTTGTCACTACATAATATTCAAAGTGAACATAAGATGAGAAAATCAATAGAAACAATAATAAAATGATATAAAAATTTCAACTAAACAAAAGAACTCTCGAAACTTACTAACCAAAAGAAAAACTAAAGAAACAAGATCTGAAAAATGATAAAACTTTTATTGCTGAAAATTCTCTCAACTCTTGAATGAAGAACAAAGCTAAGCGCACCTCCTCTATTTATAGTGTTTTGGAGCCGCTGGAAAATAAGGAAAGAAATCCGCAAAAGTGGAAATAAAATAAAATTACAACTAAAATGGGAAGAAAATAAAATTACAAATTAAATGGAGATATCAAATATTTTAGTTGGGAAGCAATGCGAAACCGTTAAGCTCGGCCACGGATTGATCATGAATGTGAATAGCAATATGGTTAGGTGCACTTAAGCATTTTTGGCAAGCTCGAGGTGGCTGATTGGAAAAGCAAAGAAGGCAACAAGGGAGGGACTTTAATTGGTAAGCCACGGCTGATTGCTTGGTACAAATTATTAGAGCTTGAAATAAAAAGCTTGGATGGCTAGATTTAAATATTTGATTGGCACATTTATAGGATTAAGACATCCATCATACGCCTTGACTTGAGAAGGAAAGTGCTGCAAGCTAGCTTGGCATGAATGGACACGGCTGGATGCAGCTTGACTCCTGCAGTTGGGATTTTTGGTTCAATTAATTTGGATTGCACGCTTTCCTTTTCTGTATTGCTTTTTAAATCTGCAATTAAATAAGCAAAAATTAAACATTTTCCAATTTAAATATTTTAAATAAAAATCATGAAAATTTATAATTATAGCTCAAATAATTTAGCATATAGTTAGTTATAAGCAATATTCATAGTGCATTTTTGTGCACTTATCAAGGCTCTAAGAGATTTTCTAGTTGATCTTGTACTTTTGAGAATATAGTGACAAACTCAGAGCTCCAAAGAAGACATAAGCATTACACCAGTTAAACCTTTATAAATTTTGTGTTCTTATCTATTTTCTGCATTGAATCATTTTTTTATTTGCGTGTTAATATTCTTTGGAAAAGAGTTAATTTGAGTTGACGATTTGCCACAGCAATGACATAGCAGCTAAAACTTGGCCTTGAGAGTCACGGATGAGCGCAGCAATGACCGAGTTATGAGCACCAACCGATACATCAGAATTTACTTTCCACCTGCCTAGAGGGGGAGGTAGCCACTCCTTAGAAACCGTCAGCACATAATACTTCTTGTTTCCTCGTTAACTAGTTAAACAAGTTGCCCATCTCTTAATTTCTTTTGTCCGTTTTTTATTCTTTTTATTGACATTGAATTAATTCCACTGGTCGTTCCAGGATTTATAATTAGAAGAATCCTTGTAAACATGGAGATTTTTTTTTTCTTTTTCTTATAATCATAAAGAGAGAAAATGTTGAAGATAACCAGAGAAGTATTGATTCAATTTTGAAAAGTACAGTTACTATTGGACCTTCTCTGCTCTAATATCAAATTTAATTTATCAATTCTTCCAAAAACATAAACTACCAAAGGGTTGGCCACCAACGGTTCATATATTTTAACAAAATATATCAGCTTTCAAAAAGTAATTACAAAACAGCAAAAGTTACAAGAAATGCCAGAGCAGGTGACAAAAAAAAAAAAAGATTATTATTACTGGTACCCCTTGAATTTTAAGATCATTCTCAATTTGTTTCTTGAACTTTAAAAACTCAAACTTTAACCATTAAACTTTAATTTGTTCTCACTTAACCTCTTTTGTCGTAATTTTAATTAAAAACAGATAAAAAAAAGAGAGTAAAGGAGTCACATACTCTTACTGTTTAAATTTTAGTTAAAAACATAAAGATAAAAACTACATGGTCACATGTAACCCCCATTTTTTCTTTCCGATTTTAGTATAAATTCTAATAAAATGGTTTAAATGAGACAAATTCAAAATTTAGGAAGTAAAGTAGAGTTTTTAAAGTTTAAGAGGCAAAGCGAGAATGACTTAAAAATTTAGGGACACTAGTGAGATTAATCCTAAAAAAAAAATAGTAACAAAATCCAATGGAGAAGCACCATCTCAAAATTTTGTAAAGCAAAAAGATTAAAGAGAAAAAACAATGAAAAAAAAAAAAAAAAAAAAAAAAAAAAAAAAAAAACCTCCCTGTAAATAGAAAATGAAAAAAAAAAAAAAATGAGAAAGCAATATGGAATGAGGAGTCCTAAACAATAGCCTGGTCTCCCCCTCCCATTTTACTAGTTTTTTTAACGTGTTAAAGACATCTTAATAGTTCATTATTTAACGAATAATGATAAATTTATTTATACAATTATTTAAGGATTTTTTATTTATTTTAAAAAGAAATATGTGTAAAGCTAATCTTTGATATTATAGTAATTATACATAAAATAATTAAGTATGGACACATTTAAAGTAAATTATTTTAACTATTGAAAAAAATAAAATAAGAAAACATACAAAAAAAAATTACTTTCATACGAACAAAGTGGGAAAAAAACATTCACAAAAAAAAATAAAAAAACATAAAAAAAAGTTTAAAAAAAAAGAGAGAGAAAAGGAGAAATAAGAGGGGCTGCACGTGCTAGCCTAATAAAAAAGAGCTTTGACTATTTTATATTTATTAGATTAAATTATTATATATAATATAAATTATAGATTAAATTAAAAATGTACAACGGACAATACAAAATTGCTCATACTCTAGATCAGATCATTGAAAAGCTAATCTAATTGATAAAAATATTAATTCCTACCAGTAGAATAAAAATGCATGTCCTATCATAAATTTTACCCGGAAAACAATTACAATGTAAAAGGTGATTTTAATAAAAATGAAAATAAAAATTGAGTAAGTGCACATTTAAAAAAATATATTTTAATAGGAATAAAGCGAAAAATATATTCTAAAAACTGCATCATAGTAAATAAACTGTAGAAGAATTTTTAAAAGAAATAAGTAAATAGAAAGAATTAGAAAAGGTAAAACAAAAAAAATAAAAAAGTGAGTTGACGAGTGGCACATGGAGAAAGATGAATGAAAAGAGAGTTTGGGTTTTTAGGTATGTTATAGATTATAGAATATAGATTAGTAAACTGTAGCGCAGTTGGTTAAGTGAAAAATTAGAAGTAGGGGTATTCACAGTCAGATTAGAGGTCAATCCGTAATTCAATCCAAAACTACGGATTAAGAAAATCTCAATCTGTGTCCGATCCAAAACCTTTTCAGATTGGATCTAATCTAATTTAAAACATATCAGACTCACGAATTCCGACCTTTAAAAATATAAATTAATAAATATCCATACAAAATAAACACAAATAAACATAGCATTATTATAACATGAAGTTGTTCAACATGAGTCTATATTATTACTTCAAGCAACAACAAAAAATCTAGATTGTTATAACCCCATTAAAAATAACAAAATAGATTCAGTGAAATTCAAAATAAAATCTTCATCACTCCTATTCATTACTTTTTAAGTAATTCAACGTCCACAACTTCTAAAATAATACTTGGGATATTAGTTTCAAAAATTATTTTATACATAACAAAATAAAATTAACTTATAAAATTTTTTATATATAATTATAAAAATTATATATATATGGTTTTGAATTCACGAATTTCACGAATTAAAAAGTGTTCAATCCAATCTAAAACTTTTTTCAATCCAATTTAAAACTTTAGATTGTATTGGATTTCGCGGATCAATTAAATTGGCAGATTCCACAAACCCCTAGTTAGAAGGATTCTACATATTTGAAGAATCAGCAGAAAAACAAAATTAATATGAAATACCCGAATATTGTCAACATCCTAAAGCATATTATTTCGAGCAGTGCTTGAATTGCTGCCGCTAAAAAACATAACATGTTGGGTGTTGCATTCACCCATCACCATCGGAAGTAAATGTTGCTACTGCTATTGATATTTGTCTTATATGGCGTTGATCAAGACCTTACCCATTCGCGTTCCCTTGTATCATACACTATAAATATCTGAGAGGACTTTTCCTCCAACATATAATAATAATAACAATAATAATAATAATAACAATAATAATAATAACAATAATAATAATAATAATAATAATAATATAGACTTGAGAGGTTTACGTATTAGGAGTTTAATTGAACCGGCATTGAGCGATAGCAATGAACAATACCTTCTCTCTTTTTTCTTTTTTTTTTTTCCTTTTTTCAGCGATGATGAAGAGCACTGGTTAATGCTTCAGAACAATATCACATCCCATATATGAGGAAATAGGTAATAGATGTGTTATTGCGATGTACATTATTAAGCTTATCTTGCTTATTCAACAACTTTTGCCTCGATAAAAGCACAAACCAGTAATTGTTGTAGACAAGAACACGAATGATAATCAGTTTAGAGAAGAGATGTCATGAACATGAACATGTCAGAAATAAGTTTATTTAGGCATATTCTCAATGCTCAAAAACTATTTCTGAGTTGGATTTGAAGATTTTTTTTTCCTTAAATAAATAAAACTAAACCCTTTCTTATACAGCAAACAAGCTTAGAAACCAAACGATGATAAGAGGGAGAACAACTAATATGGAAAATTTTAAAAAAATTAACAATAAACATAGTTACATCTTTCTAGTGCTCCCTAAAAGAAAAGAGTAACGAAAATAATTCACATAAAGGTATTACCACATTTTTGTCTGACCACTTCAAAGTCCGTTTCAGCATAGTGCTTCACCCAAAACAAACGAAAACCGTATGCAGTTCTTAGTAAACTCGCTGTACCTTTTGAAGAGAAGCAGCCACAAACCATGATGACTCATTCGACCGCGAAGCTAAGAGTAACTGTCTGTTTCACAAAAATCCGACTCTCAACACTGGGCAAGGTTTCAATTTTTGACGACTACAAGAATTCATGTGGCAAAGTAACAAGGTTTGAAGTCCTGAATTCATATTCAGACCAACTTCAAGACCATTATCTAATTACGCATGAAAAGAATATGTTTGTTATTGTTGTAACATAACCAGATTATCAAAAAGGGTAATTAGGCATTTCAAAGTTGCATAAGATCATGAAAATCCTGTGGTTAATTCATTCGAGTAAGGTATCAAAAGATCAAGGTTTCCACACAAAGTACGACATTAAACAGGTAAAAAGAGGACTTGATCGAATTTTCCACAGCATATACAGTCTTAAGCATCACTAGGTAAAAAGAAAGCCAAGGAAAATCACTACATTAGATCAAGTAACATTAACAAGGCAGTTGACGAATTTTTATATATATATATATATATATATATATTTGTTTCTTAACTATGCTAAAATGCTATCGTGGACCTAAAATGGTGTTAACTATTATAAGTAGTATGGATCTATATCCGCCTGATCCATTTTCATGATTCACTGCCAAATAGGAATTCCGAATGAAATGAAAGTGGCAGGAAGGAAAATCTTGACAATTTAAGTTGTGAAATAAAGTTATTTCTTTTGCTATGAAAAACAACTCCAGTGATCAAAATGTTATAGGTGAGGAACAAGAGGAAAAAATAGACAGTAGTTTTAAGTTTAATTTCTCCTCTTTCTATAATTTCTCTTCTATTTCTCTCTATATTCCACTTTCTATCTATCCTATATCGGTTATCCATCATGTCATGTCTTATCAGATAAAAGATTCCTTTTTCACCATTTTCCTAGATATGCGACTCATAAGATTTATAGAGTGGAAAATCCATGCAAGCAATACGTGTTAACATTGCTGACTTATTTCTGACTTCCAATCATCTCATCCCATAAAAAGCTATCTCCCCATGTGAATTAAGATTTTGTTCATTTTATATTGCCTTTGCCAGTCATGGAACAAAAACAAATTGAAGTTCAGAAACATCCATAGTTTGACCTCCTCAACTAGGGTGCACTATGGAAAAACATCAGTGAAAACAACCTAAATCTGACGTAATATACAAGACTACGAATACTTCCTTTCTTTTAGCCATTAAAAATTGACAACTTGGAAAACAGAAATCTGAAATTGATTGTAAAACGTAAAAACAAAGCCAAAGTCGACAACATCATAATACCATGATTTAAAGAGCAAAAAGAGGAAGACTATTATTGAAAAGAATATATCAAAATAAGAATGAACAGATTGGTAGGTAAAGCGACAACAATTTGCTGAACTATTTAAGCTAGAAATCAAACCTGCCTATGGTTCAATATCACATAAAAAGTACGAGCAAGTTGTGGACAAACTAGATAGAAATTACCACATTGGGGTAAGAAGTTTCATAACGTTCAACAAACAGGCCAAAGTCACTAAAAGCACACCATAGACTCACTTCTCCAGGTCCAAAATGATTTCAACCACAACATGAACTCTTTTCTAGCACAAGATAAAGCCCCGGTGCAAGACAGGAAGCTTCCAATGAAAGAAATAAAGAACAATAGATGTAGTAAAGAGACAGAAACGAGACAACAAAGACATTGAGCAGAGATATCTATTAAATGCACAAGAAACAAGTGAATAAATAGCTGACAAACATAGAAGTTAATTAATCATAACATGATTTCCGTTTTATCCATAATTTACATGACATGCATTTGAAAACCCCATTCGTCCAGCAACCAAAAAAAAAAAAAATACAATCCTGCGAAAAAAAGATAGAAAAAGAGAGCATTCTCGTCCTAACAATTGAGACAGACCTGACTGGTTGATACGGGCTATCCATGTCTCAAATAAAACCTTAATGATTGATGCTGTGACATCATATCAACATCCAATAAAAATTGATCGTCTAACATAACCAGGGAATCATGCAGCAAAATTTCTACCTACTGAAAGGTAACATAAACCACTTATCATACAACCTTTCCAAAACTGTATCATTGGTACCAACTACCAAGTACTAACCTCTATTATGCATGTTAGAAAAACCCAATTACAACTCATAACTTCATTCCACACTACAGAACCTTCGCAAAACTGTATCATTGCTACCAACCTTTAAGCACACCGTCAGATTTTGAGGGCAGAGTAACTTTTAAAATATGTGGTTAGAATTTCAAAACCCACCATTACGGTCTAATAAACCCTTTTTACCACTTTTCTATGTTGGCAAATACAGGTAACGTAACGAGTTGCAGCTTCCTGAAAGTCTGGTCAATTCTTCTCTTTTTTTTTTCTTTTTTTTTTTCTTTTCTTGTTTATCAATGGTTTTCTGGCTTATGAACTGTGCACTTCTTTTAGATCCAACAATTATTGGTGCTCGAATTGTGCTACAACTTAAAAACATTCCTAACTGCCAGTTTATGCATCACATGAACAGATTATAGTCGAACATGACAGAGCCAAGTACAAGCAGTTTCAGACAAATGAATGAATGACACATTCACAATCACAATCACGAATCAACAAACATAATCGAGGTCTCTAATTGCTGAAAACCAAAATGATAAATTAAATAGAGAAAACAGAACACAAACTTCAGAAAGATGGCAGAGAAGAAGAGGGCTCACCGGCGCCGGGAGATCGCTTGGCGCGCTTAATCTTTTGAAGCTGAACCTGCGTTTCCATGAAAAGCTGCATCCTTTGGAACTCCAAATCCTTGGCGAATTGCATCCTCTGCTTCTCCAACTCAACCATCTGCCTCTGCTTCGCCACCTCCACTCTCTGATATATCTCTCCGAACCTCTCTATCGCCTTCGCCAATTCCCTGTACATCGGCTCTCTCTCCCTCTCATCCCTTCCCCGGCTCTTCATGCTCGACCGAGACCCCGATCGGTCGGATTCCTCATCCTCCGCCTCCTCCTCCGCAAGAGCCGCCACGGCCGCTGCTGCAAACGCGGAGAAGTTCCTAGCCGATCCCTCGTAATCCACGGCGAACGGCGCCGGCGGCGCCGGCCGCTTCAGAGTAGCGGATCGGGGGCCGACCGGCACCGGCGAGTACCGTGCCCACGACGGCGGCGACGGATTCCGGTAACCGCCGGCGGCCGTCGCCAGCAGAGGAGAGAGCTTCTTGGCGACGGGAAAGGTTGCGCCGATCAAGGCGTCAAGGCGAGCGAAAAAGGGCCAGGGGCTGACGTAGGTTCCGTCGGAATCGGAAACCCTAGCCTTCTCGATCTTGTACTTCTTCTTGAGCGTGTCAATGCGATTCTTGCACTGGATGTCCGTCCGGCGAGACTTAGGGCCGTCGCAGTGGTCGGAGTTGACGGCGTCGGCGACCTCCTGCCAGTGCTTCTGCCGGAGGTTCCCGCGCTTGAGCTCGAGATACCTCTCCCCCCAGGCGTCGATGAGGGTAAAGGTGGCGTCAGCGCTCCAGCAATCCTCGCGACCCGAAAACGGCGTCGTCCTGGCTAGCGGCGCCTTCGCCGGCGACGGCGTTCCGGTGTCGGAGTCCATGACGGCGGCGGGGTTGAGGGATGGGGTTAGAATCGGGGGTTGAGGTGGTTTAGCGTGTGTCGGTGACCGGTTACGGCGGGGATACGGTTAGCGAGGATGTGGCGGCCGGAAAGTGTGGCGTCAGGGACGGTGCATGCATGTATGTGTGCGCGCGCGCGTAGAGAGAGAGAGAGAGAGAGAGATAGAGAGAGAGAGAGAACGGCGAAGTTTTGAAATGGTGAACGTGCAATTGTACGACGGCGAGCGTGTGAGAAGCGGGAGAGTTTTTATTTTATTTCGCTGGGGTTCGCGCTCGGAGTTTTCTCTCTATTCGGCTCGGGCGTTTTTTTTCCTTTTTTCTTTTTTATTTTTTTCATTTTTGTAATTCTTTCCTAGTATGAAAAAAAATGGATTAATTTTTTTGACCATCCAACTTTTTTTCGTAGGATATTTTTTTTCCCCCTTATAAGATAATATATTTCTGAATTTCTAATATAAATAAAGACTTACATTTAACAATTTCGCTAGTGAATCACTTTTTTAATGAATCTTCTAATCACGTTGATCCCTGTGTAATAATAAGAACCTGAATTTTTTCCCTTGATAACATTGTATTTTTTTTTTTATCTTTGAACATGGAGTTTGGGAATGTGAACTCTTTAGTATAGAATTATCTTTAGCTAAACCTGTAATCTCGAAAATATTATATGGGTATTTGAGAAGATAGAAAAAAAAACGAAATACATAGTATTAAATTCATACATTTATATGTGTACATACATTTATTCTTTTCTTTTCTTTTCTTTTTGAGAAATGTTCATTATTTTTATGTCACTCTCTACATTTATTATTTAATATAAGGACGTGAAATAGTGGAGTCTACATGTCAAACAGTAAATGCATATAGTGACATAAAGAAAGAGTGATGTTAGCATTTCTCTTTCTTTTTAAGGACTTTCTCCGATAGACTTCCTTACTGATAGTGTATGTTTTCTGACTGTTAGATCTAGTTAAAATCACATCGGATTAAAAAAAATATATAGAACAAATAGTTTCTAACACAAATTTAACGGTTGAAAAGTATAAAACTATCAATAATTCATTTTTTCTGATCCTATCATAAAAACTCCCTCCTTTTTAAAAGGAAATAAAACTTTTATGGCATGTTTACCTACGCGTAATCGGAATAGACATGAATCGGAGTGGGCAGGATTCGAAGTGGGTAGGATTCAGAGTGAGAAATCAGAGTTAGAATAAGGTGTTTACTTAGTGATAGGATTCGGAATTGAAGTCACTCTAAATTTCATTCATGCGTTCACTTACACCCATAATCAGAATAAACTAATGTAAAAGTACTAATATACCCTTTAAGTCAATTTTATATTTTTAATTTAAAAAATAAATTGTATACTTATTATATTAAAATAAATCACAATTAAAATATTGTATAATAATAGGGTAATATAATAGTAAATATAAATTGTACAATTATTAAAAATATAAAATTAAATGGTTAAAATTTAAATAAAATAAATAAGAGTGTTAAAAAATTAAAATATATTATTAATTTATTTAACAAAATAAAGTACATATTTATTATATTAAACTTAACAATAATTATGTCAATATTATAATATTAGGCAAATAAAATAATAAATATAGGTCAATATTCTTAAATCTAGCAATAGTAGTAGTAGTCATCTTCTTCTTCTTTTGCTTATAGAAACCCTTCGGGTGCGTTTGGAATTCATTCCAAAATGTTTTTGTTTTTTGTATGAAAATGAAAACGAAAACGTTTTCATTTTCATTTTGGAATCATTTCTTAAAATGCGTTTGGTAGTTTTATTCTGAGATTGTTTTCAGTTTAAAAAAAACTGAAATTGTGTTTGGTGGTTTAATTTTTAAAAACGTGTAATAATATTTAAAATAATAATATATTAAATAAATAATATTATAAAATATATTAAATAATAATATATTAAATAAACATGATTATATACATGAAAACTGCAGAGGAAGTGGGAAGAAGGGGGGGAGGGGGGGCGCATGGGCGCCGTCGCAAAACAGTCGGAGAGAGGGGGGCGCAGTCGCAGAAGAGTGGGCAGCGGTTAGGGGGGCAATCGGAAAGGGGTGGGGGGCAGTGGGGAAAGAAAAATGGAAACTGAAAACGATCCCCGATCATCCATATAGGGGATCTTTCAATTGAGAAGATCCGTCGACCTGAGACGAAGAGAGATGTCTATCTATTTTATTTAGTTATTCAGTTAAACCAATGATTCGTTATTGTAGCAGATAGCAAGAACCATTTCATCCGGGAAAAGCCATCTTTTTCTCAACAATGTCTTTGTCATTTGATCCAATAGCGTTCCGTTAGATAGGAACAGCTTTGATAAATACTGATAACTCTCAGATGGAGTATTAGAACGGAAAAATCCATTAGATAATGAACTATTGGTTCTAAGCCATCTCTGGCGATAAATCAACAATTCGAAGTACTTTTCTTGAGTATTCTTAAACCTTTTCATTTTTTGAGAATAAGTACAAAAACGTTTTCAATTTTTGTTTTAGAAAATACGGTGCCAAACGCATTCCTGTGTGCGTTTTCATTTTTTAATTCTTGAAAAACATGAAAACCGTTTTTGGAAACGATTCTAAACAGACACTTCATGTTTCCACTTCTTGTCGCATTTTTTTTCTTTCACTTTTCTTCTCAGTTCCCAACTTTCTAGGGTTTGAGTTCTTTTTTCTAGTTTGAATTTTGAATTCTTTGAGACTTCTTTGATTCTCCCTTCTTATTTATGGTTCTTCATACTAATGTTAGAGTGCAACGGCAGTGAGGATGGAATAAGCGGCCAGCGGGGACTGAGGGTGGTGGGGCCGACTCCATCTATAAACTCTAAGGTTTTTCTTTTCAATAAATTTTTAGATTAAGGGCTCAGATTATTTTTAAGAAATGAAGAGCACAAGATTAAGAGGATTTAAATTAATGGTTGATATTAAATGGGATGTTTTCTTAACATTTATTTCTTATATTTTTTTACTCAGAGAATTAATTTTAAAGTCTTAATACATTTATTTTTTTAATACATTCAATTAATTACTAATGAGATGTCACGTCAGTTATTCTGTTAAAATAATAGACGGAAGTGGACAGATGGAGATTTTGATCTGTTTTCAATATATCAAGGGATATTTTGAACTGTTTCGAAACATTAAGAGGCACTTTAAAACAAGATACATAGTTCAAGAGGCAATTATGAATATAATCCTTAATGTTAATATTAGGAATGAGACTTTTAATCCCAAACGGAATATAAGAGTGCCAATCTCATTTCTTAATATCAAATTTAAGTAGAACTCACCAATCTTACTCTCATTTCAAGATAAAAATAATAAATAAACGTGAGATTAAGTCCTATTTTCCACTCTATTTCTCAATTCTGATAAATAAACATGCCATTCAGATGCTCCTGTGGCTCCAAGATGTTAATGGTATTTCCGCAGAAAAAAAAAGGAAAAAAAAAATCCCAACAGTGCATAGACGGTTGAATTTTGAGTGAGGGCTTGACTTGACCACAAACGAGAATACAAAACTATTGTATATGTATTTAAGAAGGAAGCCTATTTCTCTACAGTAGACTTTTTACCAGCAACCGCACTATTGGGGAACATTCGATAAGATAAAAATGGTAAGAAAACGTTCATAATATGTGCTATATAATTTCCAGAAAAAAGAAATGGTGTACCGTGTAATGGAAGGCCATTGTTTAGTCTCGCAATAAACATATGCAACATGTGAAAAATATCAAACAACGCCTCTTTTTCTTTTTTTTTTTTTCCCTTAAATTCTTCCAAACATGTATTCATTTAAACGGGGCAATAATGTTCCACTAGAGTAAAATCTTGGAACATAGTAGTAATGATACACAAGAGTCCAGATCTCAACTGCAGAAATAAAGGTATATGCATATCTCTTTAGTCCAATATTGAAATGTCTCGTCAATTTATTTTCGCGAAGTGGAACAACATCAAATTACTCCATACAAGGTGAGGTAGCACCAGAATGACCGCCAATGGCCGTAAATCGATTGCTGCCGGCAGTTTCTCATTCATTACCAGTTGTATCCTCAGATGCAGCAGTTCCATCTGCAAAAGTCACAATTAAAGAAATTGTTTAGTATTATTCTTTTTTTCTCCGTTGCAAACAAGATTGAAGAAATTAAGTAAAAAGTTTGCATCCGCTTAATTGAGTTTGAACTGCTAGAATTTTCCTTTTTCTCCATAAGCACAATTAAGTTTGAACTGCTAATAAATAGGATACCTTCGCCATCTGCCGGGGCACAAGGAGACTTCCGGTATCTAGTCTGCTGTTGTGTGGGCTGAAACATGGAAAAACATCAGATGACGTGAAAAACATCGTACCAGAAACCATAGAATCCAAACACAACATCTTTAGCATCTTTTTCGATTCCAACCAGGAAGAGGGAATGATACTCATTTCTTAAAGACTGCCAGTTTAGATTTGTTGCGTTAAAACATCCCCACCACTTATACTGAAAGTACTTGAAAAATGTTTCCATTGTCAATTTGCAACTTTTCTGCACGTATATTTAAGCAGGACTTTGACTATCTTAGCAAGTAAGAACATAACGAGGGTTCACGTCAAAGTTTCAGAATTATCATTTTCAGATATAGTTCAGAGATCGTATTTTTAAGATGAAAATAGTTGATAATTAGTGTATACACTAACTCTATTGATGATTATTCAACATACTCTACTGTAAAATTGTCTTAAAGGTGCTTTATCAGTGCCTAACTTGAACCACTACAGTTTCACATTTCGAGATAAAATTTCCATGCAGCACCATCAGATTGGATTGAGCAAAATCAGTAACTTGATGTTAGCGTTATTATTTCAGAAATCTGAAATACTTTTGATTAGGGACCTGTTTGTAATCTATAACAATCAATTTAGTTGCAATTTTACCCAGAAAAAGAAAACGACTGTAAAAATAATAGTTGGCATGACGGAATTTGTATTTTCAGCTTATAGAATAGACTTTAGACACTAATTATGGGGAGCTGCTTCAAGCAAGCAAAAGCCACTGGTACGGGGCAATACTTAAAGAAGTAGAGCTGGTAACCCATCATAGAGAGAAAGGGATAGAATACCTGCAATTTTGGCCTAAGGGCTTCAAGTGGTCCTTTTGGCTTCTCTACACCTTGCTGTTATGATTAAAATACAATAAGCAAATTAGCTATTTTATTCACTTTTGTGAAAATAAATTTACTATTGGATTTTGGAGATACAAGAAGGATGATACCTTTCCAAGTGCCCAATCAGCGGAATCAAAGAAAGCACGTTCATGGTCCTGACACCAAATCAAAGCCTTAGACCAAGCAACAAGATATAATTTGTTTCAATTGTTGGGATCAAAATTCAAAATCACCTTTGAAATGAGTGGTGGTTTTTTGGGCATAATTCCACCATACTTTTTCCTTACAGCCGCCTCCTACAACAAGCATAAACTTGAGTAATGAGTTAACTGCCGATTGAGAAATCTATATCGTATTACCAAAGTGATATAAAACTGGCACATGTCTGAAAATAATATGCAATGGTTCTCAGTAAATGAAGTCAGAAATCCGAAAAAGGAATGTAACCTCTTCTTTTTGCAATGGCATGGTTTGTTCACTGGTGTCCTCTACTCCTGACATAATGTCTTGCACCACCCAAGCAAAACGCAGCTGTAACAGCACAAAAGTTGATCACTATAAATGCTACAATTCTAATGAAAGAATTTAAAAGATATAAACTCTACTTCCACCAGGGAAATGGGACTACCTCCCACTGTAGAGTTCAAACATCCAATTGGCTGAAAAAAGGAAACATAATAAAAACATCAACGTAATAAATGCATGAGCTAAAACAACTTGTGACCCACCCTCCACCCCCTCAGATGTCAGACAACAATAATTTCTAGCCACGTGTGGGCACACATGGATAGAAAGTTATGAAAGACATACTTCACCCGTTGCCCAATATCCGAAATTGAAAAGGAAGAGAACGGATAAGTTCAATATAAAGGGAAGGCATATATGAAAGGAAAACTTACAAAATCCTCCCTTGGGTTCAAGTAAAATGCAATGTTTAACATTGCATTCTCAAGAATTCAAAAGAACCTTTCAGATTCCCAATTCTTTGAAAACGCCAACTCTGGTGTCGTAGGCCGTAAAATTAAGCATCAGTGTTGCCTTCAAATAAGTAGGGATAGTTGTGTTGAAAACCATAGTTTTAAGGGTTATGCTACATACATATGTTAGTTCATATGTTAAGTCAAATACCAACATCTTTGGTTGACACGTGTCACTGTATTTTCATCAAATATCCAACTGAAATAACAAGTCATCCTACCTCAAATAAATAAATAAATAACAAGTCATCCTTTTGCAGCATATTTACAAGAGTAACACCACATCTTTTTTTTTTCTTCTCTTCACTGCAAGGGTCTTTCCATTTCCCACTAGGAAAAAAAGAAGAAAGAGAACCCAGAATATAAAACAGACAAACACCAATCCCCCAACGAGAAAGCAAACACAAGATATTTTGTGCTAAAAATGTTTCCCAAATATGGGCCAAAACACCTCGAACAAGCATGGTGAATGAAGAACGGTCGTGATTAGACATTGGAGGGGGTTATGACCTTCAAGCAAGACTTAGAACTCAACAAACCCCCCAAGTGTATTTGCTCCGAGTTTGGAGACTTTTTTTTTGTTGAATTGGATTACAATTGCCTCTCACTCCTCTCAAATGTTCTCTTGATTTCTCTACCTCTGAAATTATATATATATATATATATGGCTGAACAGTTAAAATGGCATGAAAGTCTTGTAAATACATTATAGAAAGATATCTTATTATTTTATTAGATTGTTTGAAGAAACCAGAGAAACATGTGTCAACCAAAGATGCTAGCATCTGACTTAACGTCTGAGCCAACATCTATATTTAGCACAACCCTAGTTTTAAAAGACGGCATCGGGAACCAAGGCGTTTTGTATAATCGAGGTGAAGGGTAAGCCTCAAGACGGATCGAGGCGTAAGCCTCGAATGAAGGGCTTTTTACAGTTATTTCCCCCATCTTTTGCCAAAATAACACACTCCCTTAACCAAAATGATTTACATGAGCACCCCAAAGTATCTCTGGCAGCATTATACAGTGCAGAGTCACAACATGAATGTAACAGTTATATAGTTAAAAATAAATCAAATTATGAAGATAAAAATTACAGTCCAAAATAACATGTCATAATACGAGATAAAAATTACAGACTAATATCGTGGCCATATAGCTTGCAATATTGATATATATTTATAAAAATCAAACATTTCACAACACCATAATCATGCCGTTTTCCAGAAAATATCAAACTAATTTCACAAATCTCACAATTATGAACTTTTTAAAATATCCAACTAATCACACAACCACCCAATCTATAACAAATATCCAATAATGAAACTAATATCAACCTTCCAAAGATAGTAAAATAAAGATCACAGATAGCTAAATACACAAACTAATCAACATAGCAATTTTCACCCATATCAACCAAAAATCACAACAGCAAATTTCAACAATCAAACAAATTCCATAAACATCAATCAAATACTAATAGCCCTGTTTACTATCTCCATTGTTCCCACTCCTCAACATCTCAATCTCGTCTTCACATTTTTCAAATTATAACAATCACATAATAACTCAAATGAAGAAACTCTACCATAACCATTATTAACCAATGAAATGAGCTAAGATTTACATTCTAAAGCAACCCATTTTGAGATTTATAAAATCTATGAAATCTCGTCCCATCATAGAATAGAACAAATTGAAATGAACGATTATAAGAGAACGCTCAAATCTCTAGAGACTTGGTTTTTCTATCAAAAAAATCCCAAATTCAAACAAAAATTACAAACAGAAAACCAACTACGGAGGAGCTTGGCTTACAGGTGGCTTGAAATCGGCTCGGAAGGATGGCTGGCTACGTTGCTCGCGACGGCAAAAAGGTCGAGATCAGAAACTCAGAATTCAGAAGTCAAAACGAATAGAGAAGCGTTTGATCTGGGGACACACAAATAGAGAGAGAGAGAGAGCGCTTTAGATACCGCGAGAAAATACAAACTCACCCCTGTGTTTTCGCTAAATACAACGCTTTCCCTCTGATTTTACAAAAATAAAACTTACCCCTATGTTTTTCAAAATAACTAGTTGAACTGAGTAATATGTAAGTTAAGGGCTTGTTTTTTTTTTTTTTTTTTTTTTTTTTTTTTTTTTTGCATGATTTAGACCTTATTCATTTCACCGATTCGAATTTTGTTATAGTAAAAAACTCTCAGAAATAGTCACATCTAACTTTTTTACTACAGTAAAAAACGCTCACATAAAGTCACTTCTCAACTCGAATAAAAAACTCGAATCAGCGAACTAAACGGGCCCTTAAGTTATGACTTGAGTTGTATATGTAAGAGAAAAACACTGTAATAAAAAATTAAATTTTAATTTTTATAAGAAAAAAATACTATAGCAATATGACTTGAGTCATGAAACAAATTTTGATTACCGTGTTATTATTTTCTAATTCATTTAATAATAAAGATCGTTTAATTAATTAGTTAGTTAATACACAACTAACATAAATATCTTTATCGTTATTAAAATAATAAGGATTTCATATGAAAAAATAGGGAGAGACACATCTAAGAAAACATTTTTCAATGAGAACATTCGGTGAAAAAACTACTTAAAAGAAGTACATTAAAAAGGTCTACATTATAGAGAATCTTTTTAGAAAATAAAAGTAAAAACGTAAAAAAAAAAAAAAAATTACGCATGAGTTAATAAGAAAGAAATTATGTTAATAGAAGCAAAGTAAGGGAAAAATCGCATTTTAAAATCACCTAATAGAATCAAGTTAAAGACATTAAATAAGACATATACGGGAGAAATGCTTGTCATAATAAATTTTGTTCTAAAACAATGTTTTAGAAATAAGGCACATTTAAAAGCATATCAAATTTAAATATAAAATTCAAAAAGGAATCAAAATGGAAGAAAAAAGTTTAAGGGAAGGAAGGAAAAAAAGTTAAAAAAAGGACCAAAAAGAAATAATAAATAAGTTTTACTCAAAAAGTAAAATAAAGGAATGAAAAAAAAAGAGGGGCAAAAAAGAAGAAGGAAAAAATGTGGGACTAAAAGACAAAAAAGAAAAATAAAGGAGCCAAAAAGTAAAAAAGAAGCAGGAAAAAAATAATTGGGGAGATGGGAGGATTTTTGACAGTTTTGGCCGCATTTTAAAATCGTCCAAGAGAATTAAATTAAAGAAATGAAATAAGGTTAGACGGAGAAATGCACATCACAATAAATTTTGACCCAAAACAAAGTTTTTGAAATGAGATACAATTAAAAGCTTTTAAAATTTGAATATAAAATCCAAAAGGGAACTAAAATGAAAAAAAAAAAAAAGTTTTAGAGAAGAACGAAAAAAAAAGTCGAAAAGGAACTAAAATGAAAAATAAATAAAATTTTAGTACAATAGAAAAAAAATAGTAAAATAAAGGATTAGAAAAGAGGTAAGGGCAAGAAAGAAGAAAAATGAGGGACTAAAAGACAAAAAAAGAAAATTAAAGGAGGACTAAAAAGTAAAAAGAAGCAAAAGAAAAATAAAAAAATAAACAGTTGGGGGGAGGATTTTCGACCAAAACGTCACCCTTTTGGTCGAAAGTAGAAAGCACTTTTTGTGCTTTATATATATATATATATATTTTAGGAGAGTTTCTCTTATGGACAGTCGGTCGGTTTTTTAGGGTCCGTTTAGTTCGTTGATTTGAGTTTTTAATTTAAGTTAAGATATAATTTTATGTGAGAATTTTTTACTGTAGTAAAAAAGTTAGATGTGATTATTTGTAAGAGCTTTTTACTGTAGTAAAACTCAAATTCTAAACTCGAATCAGCAAAATGAACAGGGTCTTAATTTTTGACCGTAAAATTTAATCACGATCACCTTAAATTAAAAATATATGTAAAATAAATAGATTTTGATATAAATCTAACAGTTAAAAAATGAGAGATTATTAATTTTTCACTTTTATAAAGACTATCAAAATATGTTTATTGTACCGTCAAACTCATTATAAATTTAATTAATAACGTATTTTAATTCATTAGAAAAAGTTTTACACCTTAATTATTAGTGCTTACATTTAAAATAATAATACTATTTATTTAGTTTACCAAGTTAGAAAAAAATGTCCATGCTCATCTTTTGTCTGAAGAACGAAACGGTGTCATTGTTAAGCACACCGAAACTAACCCCAGTATTTTTTAATATTTTTTTAATTTTTAATTGAAGGCGTTCTTTGGGGTGCTACTCCTCCAAAAGCTCTATCGCCTATCGGTGGGGCACTCAAAATTCGTGTTGACCGCTTCGTCTAACAGTGAGAGATGTGGTTATATCGGTTGAACATTTTCGACGATTGCAGCAAATCAAGGCCACATGCCTTTTCAGGGCAAATAAAAAAAGTCAAATAAAAATACTTTATTAATTCATTTCACTAATTCAAATTTAAAATTTAAATTTTATTACAGTAAAAAATTCTCACAAATAATCACATCTAATCTTTTTATTATAATAAAAAACTCTCATATAAAATCACATCTCAACTCAAATTAAAAACTCAAATTAATGAACTCAAAATAAAAATCCTACGTGGCTATTTGTATTTTCTATAGAAAAAGAACTCCTTCCACGACAAATTGTAGACCAATTACCGGTTTTACAGCTATCAACGACTCAACAGGAAAAAGAACTAATCGCCGGCATTATTTCGCCGGACGATGAGAGGTTCTCGACAACACTGATAATAACTTTTGGGGTTTCCAGGCGAGGAAGGCATGGCTAATAGAGAGAGAGCCTTTCCAGTACCTAAAAATCAATCCAAAATTGCTTTTTAACTTCTTGAAAAAGAAACACTATAATAAAACCAAAAAATCATAATTTGAGCTATACAGAAACTCTTAAAATAAAGAGACTTTAAGAATTTAGTTTAGTAAATGAGTTTAAATTAGGGTGAGTTTAATTCTTGAGTTTGAACCATATGAGTTTTAAACTTTGGGGTTCAAACCCTGTGAACACAAGGGGATTTTGGGTTTAGAAATCTTTTTATTTGGAGGGTTTAAATGTCATATTAGATGTTTAGTTCATGGATTTAAAATCATTCTCGATTTATGTGTATTTTTTATGAAATAAAATATTGTAATGAACTACGAATTATGATTCAAATCATGACACGAATACACCAACTAAACACACAATAAGAGTTTCAAATTTTTTTTTATCTTTTTATAAATAAACACTGATTTAAACTTGAGTTCAAACCCCTTCAACCTTCCAACTAAATGAGCTTTAATATAAATTTTTTTTAAAGTGGTATTAGAGTGTAATTATCTCACCGGGACTCACGAGCCTCTCGACCAAACTTTTCTCTTTTTTTCCTTTTTTTTTTTCTAATGGCTCGGACAAGATAGAAAGAAAAACTCAAAAATACCACTCAAAATATTAAAAAATAATAATAATAATTTGTCATTTCATTACTCAAAAATAAATAATTATTATTCAATTAATAAATAAAAAATAAAAAATTATTAAAACACTTAATTATTTAAAATAATATAAATAATACGTCTATATAAAATCGTGACAATTTATATATTTATTTCGAGATAGAGTGATAGAATGTGTGAATCTATAGAATAATATTGTGGCCCACGAGGAAATACCTAGTTAAATCAAGAGACGAAAGTTCTATCAAATCCAATTGGAAACTTGTCATTGTGAAAACTTAATTTAAAGGAATTTGATGCCTCGTTAATTTCACCGATTCGAGTTTTCAGTTTTAAGTTTTTACAGTAAAAAGCTCTCAGAAAATGTCACATCTAATTTTCTCTGCTACAGTAAAAAGTTCTCAAAAAATATCACATCTCAGCTCGAATTAAAAATTTAAATCCGCGAAGTGAACGAGACGACCTGAGTAACCTTATGTTTTTAACTTTGGTACATTTGAAATCAGTTTGGTAAATGGGCTTAGGTAGTTTATTCTTTCCCAAACAAAAAGAACGAGGAAAGAACAGAAAGATTGAGCCTTTTGGTTGTTTCCAGTTTCTTTAATGTTATTTCAATGAATATTTTGAGCAAAAACTAAACTCAAGCATCAGGGTAAATTTGTCCAAATAAATAAATGTAACATTTACAAAAAATTACAAAATACTAACCAAACAAAGAAATTTTTTTTTTTGTCATTCCATTTTATTACCATTACTATTGTGATTACTATTAATATGCTATCAAATTCATGAAGTAATTTGTCAAAAATTAAAATTTCAGAGAACTTTCTCATTTATAAAAAATTCAGAAGGCAAAAGCGTCAAATATCTAAAGCAAAAGAAGATTAATTCTTTAATAAGATATGAAAACATACTATTTCAGTAATTAAGATATAGTTTTTAACCGTTATTTTGTCATCAGGTTTCATATACAGGAATTTATTTGACTGAGAACTAAAAAGTATACCTTACCAATAGAGATTATTTTCATACTCTACTACAAAACTCTCTGTGAACTAAACCCAAAATGTTCACAATCTATGAAAAAGGACGTGGTACGGACTTTCTTAAATTTTGGGATCCACTTAACAGTCTGGTTCAAAATGATGGCCCCCTCTATAACATGGCTGTGTTTAATAGAATTTTCTTTTGCAATAAATGACACTCCAACATCATAGACTCTACAAATGACAAATGGATGGTGAGGAGACCTCTACCCCAGAGATCAACATCCTTAATGCAGCTGCATCATGCATGTTGCATGGCGCTCTCTCCCTTCAAGTTTATTTTTTTCGTTTTGCCTTTTTTGTTTTTTTTCCTTTCTTTTCTTTTTTACTTCATTTTCTTATTCTTAATTCGCTAGAAGTAAATAGTAATAAGTTGGTGGCTTGAGGATCGATGGTGAAATATATCTGGTAGAAGATAGTGATACTTACCATTTTCACTTGAGTCTAAACTTACAGTGGAATGGCCAAACAATCCTGTGGAAGTAGTTTAAAGAATCAAAAAGAAAATTATTCACAAATAATAATAAAAAATAAAAAAAAGTAGACAATCCTGTGGAAGTAGTTTAAAGAATCAAAAAAGAAAACTATTCACAAATAATAATAATAATAATAAAAAGTAGAGAGAGAGAGAGAGAGAGAAAAGAGAATCTCCTTATAGTAAAGAGTTTTTAATCAGATATTGACAGCAGTAATGTTGGACAGTACTTTTCATTTTCCCTGCAAAGTCAGCTTGAACGCAAAGGATTCAATGGAGGGAAAATGAGGTAATTTTAAATTATGACTATGATATGTCTTTCATTTTATCATAGTGAAGTATGCTCAAAGTGCTTCACTCTTTTTTGTTATTCTCCTTAACAGGTTCCAGTTATTGATGATATACTCTTCATTTCAGTATTCAACTCATATTATAGAGCTGTAGGAGGGATTTAATCAGATATGGCAATGAAATAAAAGAAATACTTAAGAACGGGCACGAGGGGGAGAGAAAGAGAGAGAGAGAGAGCATCAAGATAGGTGTGTCCCACAAATCTTTATCTCTTAAGGCATAAATCCACTTAATCAACTAGACAATTCCTCAAGTAATGAATGATTCCACTAATTAGATAACCGTGACAATGAAACATATTATTTATATTTATATGTATCATCTAGTAGATAACATAAAATAAAGCTTAAGAATCTGAGTATCACACGGTAGGATTTATTCCAATAATTGTGCCAACCCATATAGCATAAATCAGAGCCTGATTTTCAACTGCATAAACAAGTAAAGGGTTTTAACTTAGAAATTTTCAACTTGCTATTAATCTAGCCTACCCTTTTCGGATGCCCTCTCAAATGATTCTAAAAGGTATATTAGTTAAAAAGGAAAGCATGATGATGCTTCACTTAATTACCTTTAAGAAGTATTAGAACTTTGGGAGTTAAATTCTTATAATAATATCTTTAGTTAATACCTTTTTCAAGAATTTTTGGAGAAAGGTCAATGAAGAATCACCATTCACCTATAAGAACTTTAATATATAACACAAAAATTGCATTTCAAAATAAGAGAATTTTGTAATAAGGCATATAAAAAAAAATATCCTACCGTAAGGCTTACGATACAGTTTGATGTGTCATTATCAATTTTTCTTAAATTGTATACTTTTCTTAATACTATGATTTGATATAATTGATGGTTCAAAATTTTGTCTTATCAATGGTATAAAAGGAATACCATGCATGCATTCTATGAAAACATTGACTTAGTCGATCAAGAAGATTTGGTATTAGTTTTAATTCTCACCATTAACTGATTTTGATGTTATGTATGGTTCATTTTTTTAATAACCTGATCCTCTAACATAATTGTATGAAATTATTATAACTTAGTTGATTAAGAAGTTCCTGTGTAACATCCTCGTACTCTAATACCATCTCTAATATAAATGATAATGCCAATTGTATATTTTACATCAAGCAATCGGATAATAACATATCTGTTATAGTTTTGCATTTGTGTTCCAATGCATAATGCTATTTTAAATGTCAAATCTGTTTTTTTATTATAATCATAAGTTTTGAAAGTTGTAAAAATGAACTTTAAATGTTAAAATAATTTGAAAATACAAATGTTTCAATGATTAAATAAAAAAGTAAAATGCCAATTTCTCAAATGTTAAAGCATCTCCAATGTAATGCTATAATTGACATGCCAATCATAAATTTGGTACTTAAGTGTAAAATACACTCTCCAATATAATGTCATTGTTGTGACACATTTGCCATATGTTATACTTTGTGGCAAATTTACTACTAAGTATAATACATGAAAAGTTTGATATTTTGTTGCTATTAATTAAATATTCGTGTCTGGCATTCTAATTACTTCTTTAGCCATTCTAATATAAATATATATATATGTATTTATTTATTTATTTTAGCCACGACACAACTTATTATTCAAACCTATACATGAAGGAAAGTGTAAGAAGATAAAATTATTATTGTGCCATCTCCTACTAGGCACCAGCTTAAACGTTAGAAGAAATGGTAAACTAACAATTCACTTGAAACAAGCATGAGTATTTTCCTAAACCAGCAAAAAAGTAAGAGAATTTTCCTTGAATTTTAATGTCAACTACAACCATTTTACCATAATTGCTAACTTTCTATTGTAAAAATGAAAGTCTGCCTTTTGGAGAGAATGTCGCCCACTTACGAATACAATTACTTACCTGCTTTCAAGGTTAAAGTTTAAGGAATTTTTATGGTAGAATCAGAAAAAATGTATTAAGAATTGTCTTTTTACATAATTTTTTTAATATAATGTGATTTAAATCAAATTTAACCATCTAATTATATCTTTAAGAAGGTTCAACCGAAAATGTTCTTAAAATTTAATGAGGGATTTAAGAGAAGGAAAAAGGCGTTTCCGTACCAAAGTAGAGACTTTTTCTTAATTCCAAGACTTGGATTCGCTTACCTAAGAAAAAGAGGGGCATGGTTTAGTGGTGTGAATGACCAACATAAATAAGGTCATTCTAGCTTTGTGACTACAGTTCTATTAGACCATCTCTAACATAAATACTAATATTAATTGCACATTTATTATTAAAAAAGTGTGATATGATATATTATTTTTATTTTTATTTATGTTATATTTGGTGAGAAATTTATCACAAATTATAACAGATGAGAAATTTAACACAACAAATAGTATTATATTAGAGAATATTTTTTGTACTTAAATGTTAATTTATAATTGACACATCAATTATAACATTGCATTAAAGATACTCTTATACTTATGTATCACTTACAATTGTTTATTGTGATCAATATTATCTCATGTGAATCTCATAATCTAATGTAGATCAACTTTTTCTTTCCACCCCTGGAAGGAAAGTTCTTTTGTTTTCTTTTTTTTTTTATTGAGCTGATGAGTAAATTGACGACGGTGATTGAGTGAGCATCATAAACACTCACCTAATAGAGACACAAATTTTCTGAAAAATAAACTATATTTTTTAATAAAAAATGTTTAATCAATATTTTAAAATTAATATGTAAATTTGTGCTTGTTTAAAACGACATTTAGAAAACTTTTATGGCTAAAACGGTTCTTTTTCAATCGATAGTAGGTAGATACTACTATTTTACTCATGGAATTAATTTCTCAATGGTTGATCTATAAATAAAAGTAGTTCTATGACTCGCTATACATTTTAGCATACACACTTAGGCCTCGTTTATTTCACCGATTTAAATTTTTAATTTTAAGTTTTTACAGTAAAAAAATTCTTAAAAAATGTCATATCTAATTTTTTTTACTACAGTAAAAAATTTTAAAAAAATATCACATCTCAACTCAAAAAATTAGTGAATAGTTACAACAACAATTCCTTATAATAATAAAAGACCGTTCGTATAAATTCCATGTATAGCAGTGATCTATTTACATTCGTTCACAGACAGTTCCTATAAATTTGAAATTTCCACAGTGATCTATTTACATTCATTCACAGTTCTATTATCATCATTAGTTAGAAAAACAAACTCTTTTTTGGTGAATACAAAAGTACAATTTGTGTATAGTAGTGGATCAGAAATCTTTTCTTTTTAAAAAAAAAAAAAAATTTAGGGGAAAAAAGAGTGGTTGTTCTTTTTAGTTGTTTATTTTTAGATATTTGCATTCGTTAATTATAGGATGAAACATTATCCGTTCATTCCTGCATATCTCAACATCAGCAATAAAAAATGCATGGTTTTTGTTTTTCTAGATCTAGATTTTTCACATACTACAGTGACAGTCTACACTCTGCATCCATCAAAGTCCTATTTTTTTTTTTTTATCGTTTTTTTATCTTTCCCAAAAAAAAAAAATTATTTGGATAATTCTACACACTTACAGGTAAAGTCAAAAGGATGAGATGGGAGTAGATGAATGCTACGTATCCGGACAAACCAGACAACAGGACAGGATAACCCTCTCTCTCTCACTCTCTCTCTCCTAGACAACTCCCCCATTCCTGATAACTACACATTCCCACGCGCTCATAAGCGCGTGCATCCCACGTCATCAGACACGTATTATCGTCTTCACGTGTTACGGATACTTCTCCCTCACCTCCCCACTCTACATAAAAACCACACCCCATAAAAACTGTAAAGCCCCTCTCTTTGCACCCCTTCAAAAAAAGAAAAAAACACAAAAAAAACCAAAAACAAAAAAAAGCAAAATCTAGAGGAACAGAGAAAATTCACGCAAAAACAGAAAAAGAAAAAAAATAGAGAGAGTGTTACCGTCGCGGCATCGACAAGCGCGTCTTCATCAGTCGTATGGCCACCACGATCACCACAACACTGAACGACCTGCCGGAGGCGATCGTGTCGAACATAATCGCCTTCGTCTCCGACGTCCGAAGCCGGAACTCCATCTCCCTCGTCTGCCGCCGATTCCGTGTTCTGGAGAGGGCCACGCGCACTTCCCTCGCGCTTCGCGGCAACGCGCGCGACATCCACCTGATCCCGCGGTGCTTCTCCGCCGTAACCAGCCTTGACCTCTCGCTTCTCTCGCCGTGGGGCCACGCGCTGCTCTCCTCGCCGGCGTCTCCGCTGGATCCCCTCCTCCTCGCCCTCCGCCTGCGCGTGGCCTTCCCGTCGGTTACCTCCCTCACCGTCTACGGCCGCTCCGCCAGCACTCTTCAGGTGCTGGCTCCTCAGTGGCCGGCTCTCCACCGCGTCAAGCTCGTCCGGTGGCACCAGCGCCCGCAGCAGTCGCAGCTCGGAGAGGACTTCTTCTCTCTCTTCGAGCAATGCTCTTCGCTGTCCACGCTTGACCTCTCCGAGTTCTACTACTGGACGGAGGATCTTCCTTCGGTTCTCGAGGCCTTTCCCGCCGTGGCGCAATCGCTGTCGAAGCTGGATCTGCTCGCGACTTCGTCCATGGCAGGATTCAAGGACGACGAGATCCGCGCCATCACCGAGGCTTGCCCCAACCTCAAGGAGCTTCGAATCGCGTGCAGGTTTGATCAGAGATACATTGGCTACGTCGGCGATGAGGTTTTGCAGGCCTTAGCCGCGAATTGTTCGAAGCTGAGCGTTCTTCACCTCGTCGACACGTCGTCGTTCGGGGACACTCGCGGCGATCCGAACGAGGACGGATTCACGGCGGAGGACGCGCGGATTAGTCGCGCCGCCATGGTTGATTTCTTCTCGGGGCTAAGGTTTCTTGAAGAGCTGGTTCTGGACGTTTGCCTGAACGTCAGGGACAGTGGATTGGCCTTGGAGGTGCTTGGCTCGAAATGCCCTAGGTTGAGAGCTCTTAAGCTCGGGCAATTCCATGGCGTGTGCTCTGCGGTCGGCTCGCAGCTCGACGGACTTGCGCTTTGCCAAGGGCTAGAGTCGCTGACGATCAAGAACTCGGCGGACCTGACGGACATGGGATTGATAGAGATTGGCAGAGGTTGTTGTAGGCTGACCAAATTCCATGTCCATGGCTGCAAGGAGATTACGGTCAAGGGGCTGAGGACGATGGCTTGTTTGCTTCGCCGGACTCTCGTCGACGTCAGCATCTCTTGTTGTAAGAATCTCGATGCTACGGCGTCGTTGCGTGCGCTGGAGCCGATTCGCGATAAGATTCAGCGGCTCCACATTGACTGCATATGGGAAAGCTCTGAAAATTTTGACAATTTGGGTGCGGATCACAGTTTTGATCTCAATGAAATGTTAGAGAATGAAGAAGGAGACGATGATGAGCAGAGAAGCAAGAAGAGAATGAAGTATGATCTGAATTCGGATTCTTCGTACAATGGCTATGACAATGGATTTTGGTGCAGCAAAAGCTGGGACAGGCTTGAGTATCTCTCTCTGTGGATCGGCGTGGGAGAGCTGCTTTCACCGTTGCCAATGGCGGGTTTAGAGGATTGCCCCAACTTAAAGGAGATACGGATAAAAGTTGAAGGGGATTGCCGGAGGCGGCACAAGCCAGCAGAGCGCGCATTCGGGCTGAGCAGCCTCGCAAGCTATCCCCAGCTGACGAAAATGGTGTTGGATTGTGGCGACACAATAGGCTATGCATTGACTGCGCCGTCGGGGCAAATGGATTTGAGCCTCTGGGAGAGGTTTTTCCTCAATGGGATTGGGATTCTGAGCCTCAATGAGCTTGATTATTGGCCCCCACAGGATAGGGATGTCAACCAGAGGAGTTTGTCACTTCCGGCGGCCGGGCTGCTCGCGGAGTGCCTCACGCTGAGGAAGCTATTCATACATGGGACAGCTCATGAACATTTTATGAATTTTCTGTTGAGGATTCCGAACCTGAGAGATGTGCAGCTGAGAGGTGATTACTATCCTGCGCCAGAGAACGACATGAGTACAGAGATGAGAGTGGATTCTTGTTGCCGTTTTGAAGATGCACTGAATAGGCGTCCCATCGATGATTGAGGGTAACTAGGAAATGCACAAAGTTTTTGTGGGAAGGCAATGTAGACAAAGTTTTGAGCTTTTAGTTAGTATGGTTATAACGATGAAATTTTGCAATATTTTAAGAGTATATTCTTCTTCTTCCTCTTCTTTTTATTATTTATTTATTTATTTATTTTGCTTTGGGGCCTTGTCCATCGTTAACATGCAATTGGAACTCTAGCAGGTGCAAAAGGAAACGAATCCAATTATTGCTCATTCGGCAGACTTTGATTTGATTGCACAAAAACGGATGGGTTTTGCACCATTTGAAATGAGGGAAAAAAAAGGCAATTTATGATTTTACAGTGATGAGAAAACTCATGATGACAGTATACATCTGAAGCCGAGAATACAATGTAACCCTCTACCCGAGTTTTCTATACACAAACAAGAGATCGTATATCAGCAAAGAGTATACTCGCAATCGAGCAGTCGAGTGAGTATCTCCTCACAGCTTGGCCTTTGATGCGGTTCTGCCCAACAATCTGCAATACATAGATCAATGAGAAAAACCAAAAATATGAAACAAAAATGTGAAATGAAAAAAAAAATAAAAATCCATCATTCCCATTGAAATTAAGCAATACTAACCTGAAATTAGCCTGCCAAGTGGACCTTCAGGAACCTCCAGCCTGGACCCCTCATTAGCAACAGCATAAACTACCTGGACAGCAGAAGTGACATGCTTGATACTCCAGAATTAGAATAATATAATTCTTCAATAATTAGTGACATAAAAAAAAAGGCAAAATAAGTGTATATTTGTGCGCATATACCCTTTCTGGTGGTACTCCCTCCCATGGTCTGTTTAGAGTGCAGAGTTCCCACATTATGACCCCAAGGCTAAAAATATCGCACTTTTCGGTGTAGGGTTCATTTCGAATAAGTTCAGGTGCCATCCATTCTGGAGTTCCTGCAGATGACGAGTCCTTAATGGGAGTTTCTGTCATTATTCTGGAGAGTCCAAAATCACAGATCTTCACTGTCCAATGCTTGTTCACAAGACAATTTGCACTTTTTAGGTCCCGATGAACCACTTTCATCCTGTGTATGCACATCAGCCCCCTATTCCAACAAAAGATTTGTCAGTACACAATTTGTATTCTAGCATTAATTATTATTATTATTATTATTTAAAAGAAAAACCCCCGCTCAGTGCCGAGACTCATATTTACTTATTGTCCGAAAATATGTTGGTGATATCATTCGATAAGGTGTATTTAGACCTCTGTAATAGCTCTGTCCTATAATTAGTTCAAGAAAATAAATTCTTGTCATCAGCAGGCAGATAGAAATACAACCAATCTCCAAAAGACAGCAAGTCTAGGGAACCATTAATTTTAAAGCAAACAGTGCAACAAGCCCCGGACGACGCATGTTTAAGAAAAGGTTGAAACACATGCTGTTGCGTGTTACTTTGTTTCTCTTCTCATGAAAAGAAGAAAAATTTGTAACTTTCTCCTGTCTGTCCTAACCAGTGCAGAAGTAAGCTACTACAGCGTCTTAATGCTGACCCTCATCATTTAAGTACACCCATCCCACCATCCTTTTCTCCTTACAGTGCAGTTCTATTTAAAATATCTTCCCAAGTACTCGCTAAAATAGATTTCAGACCCTATGGCGAGGTAATGACTGGAAAGGAGGCGACACTATGGGGTTACCAATTCCATCTCTTCCAAATTTACTAGCTTATATTAAAAGGTCGGTGTTGGATGTCAAGTACGTCACAAAGATGTCCAAGGTTACGACTAACTCTATGTGATGCCAAGTAATGCCTAGAGCAACAATGTGACCCCATGAAACTTTTTCTACAATCCCTTTTTTCTTTTTTCCTATTTTGGAATGTTGTTAGGTAGCCTAACGACTATGAGCCCTCCTCCAAACAGCCATTACCACGTTACATCTCAGCTAGAAAATTTTAGCACCAAGTCTTGATTTCACTAAATTTTATAGACTGACACGCTAACGTTCCCTTCATTTTGCCAACTGAAGTACACAAGATATTCAATTGCTTTCATTAATGGTCATGTTACAACGACGACTAAAAATATCGGCTCCCGTCATTTACTCTCTCCCTCTCTCTCTCTCTCTCCCTCCCGCTTTCTTTACACAACTATTCAACTGAAATAGTGTTTACCAAACAAGACCCTCTCCGCGGTCCTTTCTTCAGATGAGGATGTCAGTGAAACTGAATCTGGGGTTATGGTTCTTAAACAACCACTGTTGTGCATGAAACTGCAAGCTTTAAGCTCATCAAAATGTGATAGTGTGAATTCACAAAACACCACGCAGACTCTTTAACACAGCCTGAGAAAGAAAAATAAAGATCGTGTAATACAGATAGGATGAACACACCTGCATATATCTCGCAACATTTTTAGTTTTCTCCGCCAGCTAAGCCTTTTCTTTTGACCACTTAAGTGAATCAAATAATACAAGGATCCCATCTCCATATACTCGGTAACCATCGATAGACGTGGAGGCTTTGTGCACGCACCCAGAAATAAAATAACTGCAGGTATCAACATTCTTCATATCAAATAATTGTCAAAAAGAATGGGAACTTTGTCGTCAACTGAATCTTTTATATTGACCATCGTATGAAGCAATTATAGACACAACAATGTAGATGCATGAGTTGAAAACCAGCAGGTAAAAAGGTAGTACCATTGGGATGTCGAAGTCGGCTGGACAACGATACACGTAATACAAAGAGCAAGAGATTAGAAAACTATATAACAAACGAAATACCAGAGAAAAAACATTATAATAAATAAGTAATGGACTATAGATGATACCTAAGAATGGATATCTCATTGCAGAAATCTTCCATGTTTTCAGCAGTTAGATGTTGCTCTAAGAAAACCTTGATTGCTACATCTGTTCCATTCCAAACGCCACGGAAGACTTCTCCAAAGAACCCTAGATGTGGACAGTACAACAAAACCCAACAACATAAAGCAATCAGATTCCTTTCACTAAAAAGAAGACAGAAATAATACTTTTCCTGCATGAGACTACTGATTTTTCCTCGAAGCATTTACAATTTCTACGTGATTGTTAAAGTCGGTAAATATTCTTACGACAAGCAATTTTGATTCAAACCAGTTAAAAGACAGACAGAAATATGAAAGAATAGATTCCCAGTGTAAACAATTTATAGTCTTGCAGCCAACCAAAGAAATCCAATTAACTCACATGAACCTTCACAACCCAACTAACAAAACCCACTTTTTCAGGTTTGTTTGTCTCCTTGCTCCATTACCGCCGCGTGACCATCAAGCTCATAAAGACATTCTAATTATTGAATTTCATCAAACTTTACTTTCTTGCGCATTTAGGTTTTACCAACAATTTTATCTATATCCAGAGAAATACTTTCAGCAATGGAATCCCTACAAGTCAGATATAATCTCACTTAAAAGGTTATTTCCCCTCTTCTCTAATAGCTGAAACATAGCAGTTGACATTCAAACTCCTAGAGATTGGATTGTCTGGGCCACTATTTAATGCAAAATGGGTGTAGAATGGACCTTTTTCCATTTTCATGCCAAATCAGCTACCAACATAAACAGGTATCAGGTGGTAGCACTAAGTTAATACCCTCCAAGCTTCTACTTAATATTGATAATGTCAGTATATTGTACAAAGGGAATTGAAAAGAACTACAGCTCAAGAAAAAAAAAATCAATCTAAACAGCAGCTAAATACAGTGGTTAAAGAATAGTATGGAGTAAGAAAAGAAATAAGTGGTTTTCAAGCCAAGTAAAGTACTAAAAGTGATACTAACCTATGCCAACACGAGTTCCGACAGTCAACTCTGAGAAATCAATATTCCATTCTTCGTAAGGTAATAGAGGCTTGTTATTAAACATGGAAGATTGAAGAACTTTATTCCATGTTGAGACCAGTTCATCATTCGCCAGATAACCTGAATGTCCACTTCTCTCAGAAATTTGACGCCTATAATCATGTGGATATGAGGGTAATGATATTGCCTTCTGAGATATTTGTTCCTGAATGAAGAGAATATAAGATTTTCCATGAGACGATTCATCATACCATCAGGATAAGACTTTATACATAAGTGGCATGCAAAACAATTAACACTCAAAAAAAAAAAAAAAAAAAGCTAGGGTGCTTCCGAGGTTCCTTACTTAATAAAGCACTACCACAGATTTACCATACAACGACATTCATAGATTGTGGCCCGTTCGCTTTGCGGGTTCGAATTGTATGGTTTTGAACCCTTGGGTTTGAACCTATATGTAGGTTTTCTGTTGTCCAAACTGGCGTTTGGTAGTGTAAAATTAAAACATGGAATAAAACATCACATTAGAGAATAAAAGTTTGAATTGGTGTTTGGTTAGTGTCAGAATTGTGAGTAAACAAAAAAAAGTACCATGGTTTTAAACCAGAATTCTGTAGCAAATAGGTTCAAAGTTTCAAACCCGTGAGAACTTAAGGGGGGTTAAGTTCAGAATTTTGGGTTCTCAAGATCTCAACCAAAGTCCAAGTTTAAAATTTTTACAGCCAAACACGGGTTTAAAACCAAATACTAGGTTCAAACACACTTGAACCCTTAAAACAAACGGGCCATTTATCCACCCCCAAAAAAAAAAAAATCTTAGATCACCTCATTATTTTCCAATAAAAACGCGCTTCGTAAATTGAACAGACATGCAATTATACATCCATAAGAATATATCAAAAACCTATAGTCATCTCAAAAGAAAACAAGCTTCATAAATCGAACAGACTAGCATTATACATATACCTAAAACCTATAGTTGCCTCAAAAAGAAAACTCCAGTGACCAACCAATCTATACGGAGGAAAAAAAACGAAAGAAAAAAGAAAAACCCACAAGTGCAGTTGCTTAGCTAAAATTACTTCGTTGATTAGCCACCATGCTAGTAGATTCTAGCAAACGTACATAAACATGCAACAAGTTCATTAATTAAAAAGATAAGTCAATTCTGTCCACATTATGAGTTCATAAGAAGTAGCACAAATAAAAAACAAATAAATAATGATTCGACAAGGCAAATGCCTAAAAGATAATCTGAATCTGCTCCAGCCAGGATAAGAGAAAACCTACATTATTTTGTAGATCAGAACTCCTATTTCTGTCGTCTAAAGACACGTCCTCGCCTTGCTCTCTCAAAAGGCGATTTTGCTTCAATGTTTCATTCATAGCCCGAACAGCCCTGTGAAAATTCATTAAATACTGAGTTATTGAGCCTTACACAAATAACTCCTTGTCAACAAATCAAACGAAATTGCATTACATTAAGTGCCCCAGCCAAAGAGAATTAATAAGCTTTTTCAAGCCAACTATTCCAAGGTACCACCCAAGCGCACAATAATAGTAAAAATAAGAAATGAAAAAAAAAGGGTAAAAGAAATAGACTCTTGAAGATTGCAACAACTATACAGAAAGACAACCAAGTAATACATGCCCCCAACTTCTCGTATAAGCAACCCTGGACCTGAAAGGTCCCAGCAAGATGAACTGCCATTGCCTCAGCATATAATATTCAGGAAGCGAACTAAAACCAGAACTAACAGAAATTATAAAAGAATGTCACTCATCTCTTTCCACATGCAAATATGAAAGAAATTCTTTATAAAAAAAATGAAAAGCACTACATATAATATTCAAATAGCTTGCTTAAGACTATGCAGTTTTTCTACTTTACTGTAAATAACCCAAATTTAAGGTTATTTTCTACTTGCATGGCGAGTAAAGCTTTTCTCCATGATTCAGGATTCCCTTCCCTCCAACCAGACACTTCAGTACTGCCATTTCACTTGGAGCCAAAACCCAGCAGCTAGTCAATGAACAAAGACACGCAATGCTGAAAGGTAAGATATCAACAAGCGGGAGATTCTAAGGTAATAGGCCAAAAGCCACTCATTCACCTAGTATTGATCATTACAAGCATTGAGATCCCCATTGCAAAATATATCCTGAACTCCAAACCCACCATTATTTTCCTGAAAATCCTCAAAAAATATCATTGAATAACCATCTAACCCAAAAACTTTCTTTCTCACAATCAAACACTATTCTCCTAATTTCTTTATTCTCTTCTAAACCCAGCAGCCTTTTCACTATTTGAAATGCTAAGCTCATCAACCCCCAGTTATCTCCTTAAATGTTTGATGAAATCACTTCATAAGATTGATCACCTCGTTTACAATTTGCCCTCCTACGAACTGAATTCTTTGTTCAGCACCTTTTCCAATTTGTTCCAAGCTACCTTCTCTCCGTTATCAGAGTTCTACTAAATTCATTTACATCTTCCATATAATCCAACTATCAAGTCCACTTCTGGATTTCCTTTTCTTTTCTCCAACCTAATATCTTTAGTGTCACACCTTTGAAAACGCTCTCTTGGACAGGACAAATGACAATACGAATGTTTGGGGTCTTATAATTGCTTTGCAGCAACACTACACCTTCTCAAAACTTCAACGCTCTCTACACCTTCTCAAAATTTCATAATTGCGTTGCAGCAACACTACACCTTCTCAACAGTAAACCATTCTAGACCACGTATAAAAAGTTTTGATTCGGGACTAGACCATGCTCTCTACTTTTCCAATTGCTATTCAACATCTATTATCCAAACTTTTTCTTATTAGTCCATGTATAATTTGTTTTGATTCGGGACTAGACCATGTATAATTACAAAACAGCTTTCTTTCCCACCTCCACCTCATTTCTGCCATAAGAGTTTATTCTAATCCCACCCAGTCTCTATTTCTAAAGTGACAGCCAAACATCAAGATTTGATATTCTCAAGCAACTCCATGATAGAAGTGGCATAATGAATCATGAACTGAATCATGCCAAAATCTTGAGGTACCATCCTCCTTTAATAAAGTATCATGCCAACACCTGGGAATATATCTACACTTCCGACAGAATGGGAACATCATTTACTAACGAAGGAGCTCCGCTTATTCTCTTTCTTTCCAACTTGCTATGCTCCCCATCAGGAGATCATCAGTCTGAGTTTCTATACCAGCAATTAAACAGATACCTTTTCTTCTTCTTCTTCTTCTTTTCCCTTGTTTTTTCTTTTGGTTTTGGATAATAAATTATGTGTGTGTCTGTTATATACATGTCACACGCACACTTATTTCAGATTAAAAGACATGTGAACTTGCCCAATAAATGCCAACCTCATGAAAACCATCAAAAATATGCAAAAGAAAATGTCAAAAAATCCTAATTCAGATAAGGCAGTAGGAAAAGAAAAAAACTTTGAAGATTACCAACAAACCAAAGTAACTAAAATCCAAAAAAGAACTTTGAAATAAATTAAAGGGTTGTTTTATCCCAATGAACCTGAACAAAACGAAATCATACGCAATATAAAATCGAGTAGGGAAACAATTCTATAGAGTGCTTTGTCATATACGAGGCCAAAAAATTCTCAAATAAGAAAAAACTGCTATTAAACGTTATGAGTTATGACACAAATATCAACCTCACTATATCATCACCAATTTCTGGCGTGATGCTAATGCTTCTTCTTCTTATCCTACGAGCCTCTGATGTTGACGCACCATCTGACCTATAGCTGCATTTTAATTGCAATGAAAGCAGTTTCAGAGCATGAGCCTACACATTTCTCACAGCACTAAGTAAGCAATCCAGAACATACCAAATCTAAAGATAAAAGAATAGCTCAAAGACTAAATAATTTTTGACAAATAGCTGGACAGGGTACAGACAATGTAATCTAAAATCAGAGAAAAGTGCACCAATTCATGAAACTTTTGCTTATTTACCGACCAATAGGTCATTACAAAGACAAATTACTAAGCATATTCAAGTATTTAGTTTCTTACTTAAAGAGATTGTAGGACCAAAAAGAATAAAAACCTTGATGTGGACATGTCATCAGCATAATCTCTAAATGACTTTCTATCACCACTAAGCATGGACCGTCCACGGGCTCGGAAGGAAGGATGTTCTGGACTGCAAAACTAAAATACTTTAAGAAAAAACAAACAAAAACAACAAAAACTATGACTGAATGAAACCATGGGCATTGCCTCGCTTGAGAGCTAAAGGCCTTAAAGCCAACTATACACACACCCACACACCCACCCACCCACACACACACACACACACACACACACACACCCCAAAAATGCTGAATTAAAGACCCAATAATGTCGAGCAAGTTAGACTGTTTGCCAGACGAGAAAGATAAACGAGTAGATGAGCAAAATTTGATATCATCAGCAATGAAATACAAACATTGAAGCAAATTGTAATTTCTTATTCTAAATCGTTACATGACTACTATCCAACCCCCTGAAAACCAACTTTAGCACTGCCCCCATGGATCAGAGGCATGCGCATTGCAACAAGCAAAAACAAAAAGTAAACAACAAATTCAAATAAACTTTGTAGCATGAAAAAACATGCAGCTGAAAACCTTATGATTTAAAACAGTAAAGTTCAATCAAATTACATCTATGCAGTGAACAAGGGGACTCCAAAATAACCCAGTTTGTTACTATAAACATAACAAAGAGGAGTCATCCTCGATGATTCAAATTATCTTCAAGCTGGGAAACAAGCAATAAATGAAAAGTTTGAATGTTGCAGTCCTAGCATTGTGCTGGGAAATTTGGCTAGAAAGAAATAAGAGAATATTATTAGGGTGGTGAAGACTTGGCATTAGGATATAGTTTAGTTTTGGGTTGCTTTATGGATACATCCTGAAAAGGATTTTAGGAGTGTTCTATAATCAGAGTTTGTGAGCATTAGAATTTCTTTTATCTAGTTTCTCTGTTTATTTTTATCTCTGGTAGATTTCTTGTACTCCCTTTACCTTATTGTAATTTTGTCCGCTCTTAAACAATTTCCTTTCTTATCACACACACACACACACACACACCCC